GTAGGATGCTGCACTTAACAGGAGTTAAGGAGGGGAATGGGATGCACTACATTTGTCTGATTGGCCATTTCTGAGAGGACAGTTTGGGGGTGGGGTTGTGGGGGACCCTCCTCTGTCATAGGCATAAGCTCACTGTGGCTGCTATTGATTCCTTTGAATTATAGGGTGTTGTACACAGTTCTATAAAAATTTTCTGGTTATAAAACTCCACTTAAAATCTTCCCCACATATCTCCACAGATTCTGTGGCAGTATGAAGTGATGGAGCCCCTGAGAAATTGTAGCTGCCAGGGTTTGCCTCTGACAAACCTCCCTGATTTCCCAGTGCAGTCAGCTGTAGGGGCTTGGGATCCCCTCGCTCCCTGGAAGGTGATATCCCAGTGGTCACAGCTGCACCCCTGCTTTACTTCCAGTCATTTGTATTGTCTCTGAAATTTAAAAGAAGTTTCTGTTTCTGGCTATTTAAAAAAATCAGCATCCTTAAGAAACAGTTAGTGCTTATATTGTTTGATCATGCCCATATCTGGTAATCTGAGCAACTACTTTGAAGAGAATACTATGCAATATAACAACCATTGTTAATTTCCTATCGTCTTGTTTTGAAATTCTGTATCATTTTTATTGTTTTTTTCCTCTTTAAAAAGAAAATAAATATCCAATTTAATCATTGGTATAGACCCAATTACGCCTTTCTGGGCCAGTTTTAAAGATATTTGTTGTAAGTAATTTCATGTCTCAGAGAAGCCAAGTTCAAGCACACAACAGTGCAGGTGTTATTCTGCCCTTATCAGCAGGGGTGGGTAGGGTTAGCACTCTATGTCCCTTTGCAGCGGTGGTGGGTGAGGGTAGTGCCTAGAAGGAGCTCCTGCATAGGCGTTCAGTATTAAATAACAAAAACACATTAGCACATCTCTTATTGTTCAACTCGCAGACAGCTTGCTAGTTTTATTTTTCTGTCCGAATTTCTCAACTGGAGAAAAAAAAATAGGCAACTATCTTTTTGCCTGATTGTGCATACTTAACAACATAAAAGATTGCAAAGTTTGCATTATGTGAATTGAGACATTTTAACAGTGGAGTCACAAATGGCTGGTAAAATATTTGAACCAATTAGATAATAGCATGAAAATTAAAAGTCAAGGAAATATATAGGAATTATTCTACAGAATAACAGCATTAACTTTTCTCAGAATCAATATATTTATTAATATTTTAAGTGAAAAAGAAATGTATAATTCATCGTTCTTTAATTATCATTCAGTCCATCACCTCAACCCTGCCCTGTAGAGAATTTTCCCCTTCCTTTGACATTTTTAAAGTTAAATATTGCCCACTTGGAATAAATTTGACTTAGGTAACCTTTTAGGATGCGCAGGAACACAGAGTGCTATAAATGTCAAGGAAAAGATAAACCTTTATTTCTTTACTCAGGCATAACAAAAATAATAAACCTGCTATTGTACACGTTAGACAGTCAATAGAAAAATCTGCTTATCTTCAGAATCATAAGCAGATAATAACATCATTAAGGCAGGTAATAAAGTTAGAAATGAAAATGAATTAATATTAGTACAAAGCATATCTGGAGAGGGCAGTGATATATTTATCCTCTCTGCCTTCCCAATAGTGTCTTGCTTACTATTTTGAAAATTCTGGGTACTCACTAAAGGTACATTGAATGACTGACATTTTGAATTATTTAATTGCAGATATTCTCAGTTTTTCCAATATAATTCACTGGTAGGCTCAGGGTTATAATATAGTATTTCATGTGTAGGGAGTTGGCAAATAGAGTAAATACATGATGCTTACTTGACTCAGCTTCATGACACTATTTAATCCAGAAGCTCATTAGCCAATATGACCATTCTGCTAAGGTTCAAACTCCTGATTTGGTGTCTGAAATATGTAAGATAACTTACGTGCTACAGCCACACATGTAGGTGGACAAAGCAGAAACGTGATTGTAACATAGATTGTTCTTTATGTTTACAACCAAACTGAGCTAAAGTCATGATTTAATGTTCAAAGAATCATTGTAAGTATAAATTGCACCTCCTAGTTAGGAGTAAACGCACTCCCTTCTGCACCATCTGGTTAACTCAAAAATTCTACTTTATTACAGGTAGGTCCACTTTGTGGTCATCTGTATATCTGGAACTGAATGATGCAAACCCTGTATTTCTATTTCCCTTATAGGAATCTGTGCTCCTAGAGTTCCCATCATTTATTTTTCTTTGTTAAGCTAGAATTTCTGATGCAAGCAAAAATCTCTGATTCAATAATAAAGATTTAGGGGCTGGGGATTTAGCTCAGCGGCAAAGTGCCTGCCCGGCAAGCACAAGGTCGTGAGTTCGGTTCCCGGTACCAGAGAAAAACCAAAAAAATAAAAAAATAAAAAAATAATAATAATAAAGATTTAGCCAACCTCCTATCAATGAATTTTTTTAAGCTGAGGTGTTCTTTAGAGTCATATAAAAAAGCAGAAAAACAGGGTTCAGAACTACAATCTACACATAGTTAGAGATATATAATACAGCTATTTTTCCTTTAGCAGAATTCATGAGCAGTACACACTGGGTGGGGTTATCTGAAAGAAAATAACCCCACTTCATCAAAATGACTTACGCCAGGTAATCTGAGATTGATACACTGACTTGATCTTTTAAAGGTACTTATTTGTCTTATCGTCAGTACAAGAAACTCACCATTGCATGTACCATATCTGCTGCAGAATATTGTCTATTCTCCTGCTATCCTCCATCTTCAAATCAATATTTACAGTAGAGTTTTACAAAAGGGGATAGACTACATTTCTAACTTATATTTTATTTGTAATAGTCTGTTTAAATGTAAAATACATTACATTCATTTTCTCAGCAACAATTAGGAAAGCTATACTTATTTCTAAAATACTTCTTTAAGTGCAGAACTTGCAAAATGTCATTTTTCTAATAGCTGCAATGAAAAGAGGAACTCTAAGATAATAGAAATAGAACTCCAATATAAGATATTACAATATTTCAAACCTACACATGCAGTTTGTTCTTTTTCAGTAGAGCATAAAACGACTCAGATATTGTAGAAATGAATTTAAATCAAACATAACCTTTATCATATGAGACTATTATGAAGGTTATAAATACTTATGTACCAAAGGCAATTTAGGGGAAAATTAGCCAATTAGTAACTCTCCTTATGTCTGAATTAATTAAGAGAAAAATCCATATTTACCATAGCAACTAATTCTATTTGAAAATGTCTGACACACAGAGCTCTGAAAAGAACATCACTAACTCCTATCCATCATTTTCAATGTCTATATTTGACATTATATGCAGATGTTATTTGAAACATTCCTTCAAATCTACTTTTATAGATATATTTTGAGATTGGTAGTCAATCTTATGATGGTACCATCTAATAGTGAAGATAGGTATTAAAAGGCAAAATCAACTAACTCTGTCATCAAAAGTTAACCACGTAATATTATTAGAAGTAGAACATTATCCCATCACTCTGGGAAGATTCTTAACATTTCAAAGTGTAACAGTTATGAGAATAGCAACAATTAATGATATTGATCACTAAGGTAAAAGTCAAAGATGGATGAAAACAGTGAACAACGGAAATGTCAGGTTCCATCTGACTTTTCCCAGGATTGACCACAGAGAAATGGATTTTTTAAACTGAAAAAGAAATGCAGTTATATACTGGTTGGGCAATATTTGAATTTTTATTTATTATTAATGTATTATTAATTATTGCAACATGCAGTGACTACTTTCATCATGGGTATTTGGTGCATGTACATGACACATCTTAATTTTTTTATATCCCCTCTCCCTTCTACTGTTCCTCTCCCACTCCATGGCTTGGTCACATTCCCACTTGCAGTAGATCTATCTCCATGTTTCCTTTCGTCTATCTCTTATTTTCCTCTTTATTTATACTTTAGATTTCTGATATGAGAGAAACCAAATAGTATTTAAGCTTGTGTGTCTGATTTGTTTCACTTGATGTAGTAACAAAACCACTACTCAGTTTCTTTAAAATCCAGGAAGATGATTTTACTGAAGGATTCCAGTTCTCTCACTGTATTACTCAGCTTCCTGCTCACTGACATCCAGTGCCTGACACCGACAACTTATAAGAAGGAGGTTTAACCTGGCTTATAGTATCAGGTGACTCAGTCCATGGGCAGCTGATTCCAGAGCAAAACCATCATGGCAGAAGTAGTGGTGGAGCCAAGATGCTTAGTTCTTGGCAGTGGAGAAGCACAGCAAGAAAACAGTGATAGAGAGGAAGAGGTGAGGGGCCAGATATAGTACCCAAGGTCGTGCTTCCAGGACTGATTCAGAGATACCCAGAAATGTGCTTTACCAATCTCTTGGGTGTCTCCCAAGCCAATCAAGTTGACACAATCAAGCTTATTTTTCAGTTTTAAATAAGGGTCTTCTTTGGGGGTGTTTACATTAGGGTCTTTATCATCTTTTGTGGCACTTTCCAGTAGTAATATGCTGGTTGAGACTCCACCTTAATTGGTTTCCTTGGAATAGCTAAGCCAAATAACTGTCTATTAAGATTCACTTTTTGCCTGGCAAGTGTCTCAGGTATGAGATTAGGGGTATAATTGAAGAAAATCAAAATGATCCCTAAAAATACTAAATCTTCTCCTCAAGTCTTAGTTTTAATGTGGAGTCCTTACAGTAGCAGGTAGGAATCAGCCTGAAGCATTAAGCAGAGCAAAATTTATGGAACGGCTAATTGTAGCCAAGTCTTCTGTGTCCCCTCTGCCTGAAATCCACATTAAAGTCAGAGTCTACAACATGAGGAAAGGAGCGAAGTTTAAACCGGGGAAAATAAACTTTTACCCCTCATAGATTTCCATTGTCTAATATTCAAAATAAAGAGAGTCAGTGAAGTGTGCTGAAATTTCTCTCCTAATTCTACAAAATCTATAAACTGAATATGTTACATTTCTTTTAATAGTGTTTTTATTTTTATTTAGTTTTCTCCTATAGTTGGGATTTATATGTTATTTCAGTAAGTGATGAATATATACCACAAAGGCACACTGGGATGAGAACTCTGCACTACATATACATCTTTAAAAGCCATGCTCAGTGCAGAATTTAAGTGCTTGGTACCCCAGATGTGGACCTTGACCCACATTTCTGTTTATTTGCAGGTAGCTATAGGCAGCGTGTCACATAGCCAATAAGCAGCCTGCCCTGTAAACGCAGTCCTATTAAACCAGAGCAACTCTTCCACCTGGCTTTCAAAATAGGAGAAATAGTTGCTCAATATGGAAGCCAAATAACTGTCTTTCAATTATGCTTTCTTTTTCCACATTCCTCATTCCATGAGTATGCCAGGATCACTTGAAAATCAAATTTTCCACTTATCTCTGGAGCTGTTCAGGCATAAACACCTGTCACATCCGCCTCTGTCACCAGAAAAGTCAATATGTATCTCTTCAGTTGTGGAAGGATTTCTTTTTTAGTAGAACAGATTTTCATTTTCTCCTTGTATTTTGCTTTGTCTTGAATTTCAGAATGCATTGTACTTTGTAAATTCAGCCTGGTACAATGGAGCGTCTGCCTCTGGATAAAGTAAAACAACTCTGTTCAAAAATAGAAAATGGAAATGTGGAGGTGTGAGGCTCACCTTGTGTTTTACCATGTGAGACGTCCAATTGAAAAGCTCCATATTCTCATATGTTGCACCGATACTGGGCGTACTCACTAGCAGCACTTCCTTTGGGACATAACTCCACAACATCATGGAAGATACAATTCATTGCCTGGCCCCGAGAAAGTTACAACTCTTTGGAATAATGAGGTAGGCATGTAAAAACTTCCATGGCAAGGTGAGATCTGAACAACTGTATGCTGGAATTACAAAGGGATATTTATAAAATAGTGATTCTTCCCATACCATAGGAGAAATTTTCAGAAGGGGAAATTGAGTTAACTAACTTGAAAGAGAAGAGATGGTGATAAAATGTTTTAAAGTATTTACAAATGTTTCACATTCACTAAAATACTGTTTAAAGTTATTAATAATGACTGCTGTATTGTTTTTATGTTTGGTAGCTAGGTTTCCCAGTCTTCCTCAGACACGCTAAGGAGATGACAGTTATGATGTTGTGGGAATTCTCTTTTGTGCTGAGCCCAGGTGCCCACTCCTTGCTGGCTTTGATGCCCTGAGCATCATGTCCCCTCACTCTTTGTTCTTCTCACCAGTGTCTTGGTACCTCCCTGCTTCCCTTGGTTCTTGACAGTGTGACACCTCAGGGACACTTCTGTCTCCTGACTCTGATTCCCCCGGTTCACTTATGCTTATTTCCCTGGTGGTGGGGTGTGTTCCCGTGGCTCAGTTTAGGTCATCAGTTGTCTATCCAGGTGGTGGGATCAAGAAATCCTTGGAAGCCACTGTACTGGGCGGAGGCACAAGGGAACCGACCCCACCTACCCCCTGGGGATGTGTAAATCCGCCCACAAGAAAGACCACCTACTCTGAGGGACAGGACTATTGCGATCCGTTTTTAATATACACACTTATGTCGGAGAGTGGGCGGCTCCTCTTTGCCTGATTCAGACGTGTTTTCATACTTGCTCAGCCCAGCTGACACACATTAACCCAAATTACAGATGCTCATGCTACTGGATGTGTGGCAACTGAGTAATCCCCGGAAGGTGATGGTTAATTACTACAACAGCTCCCAAATTTGACGTGTTCTCCAGCCCACACTGCGGTTTGACTGATAGGGGAAACAGAGAAAAGTGAAGGGGATAATGTGTGAAAGAACTAGTGTTACCTCAGATTTCCAACAAAATTACATTGACGGAAGACATTTTTGGTTTCTGAGCTTCTGCCTGTCCACATCGATGTGCAGCATACATGAAAACATCCTACTGCTTTTACCAGTGATGGTGGATCAGCTAATTATTAACAGATCGGAAGCAAGAACAACTATTAGGTTATGAAAAGAGGTTATTTCTTATTTTGTACTATACAGCATTTTTCTTAATAATAGTTAAAATTTTATTTTTTTCTTGTTCTAAATGAGCTCTGCAGATAATATACAGATTAAACTGTAAACAGTGACACGTAGAGTCACATAAACATTAAATTACATGAGAATACAGGGGGCCATGCAGTAGGCCAGCTCTAAGTAGGTGTTCTTACATACCTCAGAGTAGAATGTTGATAGAATTTTACTACTGAGAGGCAGAAGGTACACTTGTGGGTGTCTAAAAAGCAGGCAAAAAAAAAAAAAAATCAAATTACTTTTTACTTTATGGGGCCAAGACACTGGGTATGGTTTTCTTACTGGAATGTTGAAAAGAAAAGAGGTCCATTTATAGCGTATGCTTTGGTAGCAAATAAAAGGCAAATCCAAGTCCCCGATGAAACACGATTATAAAATGTACATCCTTCCTGTGTTCTGTGCTGGAGCAGAGAGAAGGTTAAATGTGGTAACTTCTAAAGAGAAACACTGCAGAACTTTCCATAGATAAAAAATGTTTAAAAACTCATATAATATAAATCTTGGAGGGTTTGCTGAAACAAAATCTACATGAATAAAAGTGTTATAGAATGGATAGATTTACAGGTAAATCAATTCTTTCTTTTCTTTCTTTCTTTCTTTCTTTCTTTTTCTTTCTCTTTCTTTCTTTCTTTCTTTCTTTCTTTCTTTCTTTTTCCCTCTCTCCTCCTTCCTTCCTTCCTTCTTTCCTTCCTTTCTTTATCTCACTCTGTATCTCTCTGTCTCTCTCTCTGTCTATCTGTCTGTCTGTCTCTGTCTCTGTCTCTCTCTCCTTCTTTTCTTTCTTTTGAGACAAGGTCTTGCTATGTAATTCAAGTCAGCCTCAAACTAACAATGTAGACCAGGCTGATGTTGAACTCTCCTGCCTCAGCTTCAGTAGATATGAGCCCCCATGCCCAGGTAAGATTTCCATTGTGAGTGAAGCAAAAACAGTCTCTGCAAACTGAGTATATACCCATTAGAGGGCATGGAATACAGTCAGCTTTTCTCTTTTGAATTTGATGTAGAAGAAGATTAGTGCAATATAGTAAAAAAAATCCCTCTCTGGAAAGTGCTAAGTGGATCATCACATCTTGTCAACATACCAGTGTTGAATTTGTAGTGTACCCTAGCCACTACACAGGGCATGATAGAAATGTATATTGGATGCTTAAATTTGAATCCCCTTCAAAATATTCCCTCGCACTTCAAGCACGCTTATCCCATTGTTCTTGACATTTTCTGAAACTGCTCTGAAAGTCCCTTTTTGGTGAATGTATTTATGAGGTATGATAAAAAATATGGTGAATGCTGCTGTGAAGTAGCACCCGGTAGAGAGGCAGGCTCCTGAAAACATTGCCACAGATCCTCACCCACTTTACCAGATCTGGCACCATGCAACTTCTAGCTCTTCCCCAAGGTCAAAATGATATGAAAGGTAAAAGTTTTGAATCTGTTCAGGACACTGAGGCAGCCATGACAGTGTCAACTAAAGACACTCATGAAAAAAGACCTCCAGAACTGCTTCAGAACGTGGTAAGACAATGGGATAAATGTGCAAGTCAATGGGGAATATTTTGATGAAGATTAAGGTCAGTGTCTTTTCCTGTAATGACTTTTTTTGTTCTTTTGAGGTAGGACTTTGCTATGTAGTCCAGCCTGACCTTAAATGCACTGTATAGGCTAAGCTGGCTTTGAACTTACAGTGATCCTCTTGCCTCAGCCTCCTGAGTGCTGGGAATCCAGGCATGTGCCAATATGACTGCCCTGTAATAACATTTTAAAAAATTTAAATATTGACCGTCTTTTTCAATCACATTTTATACTTGGCTCCAACACTATGGTGGAACACATACCTTACATAAGCATAAAATATACACCTGTGGTATAACCATCTATGTTCAAAAGATAGGCCAATGGAACGATATCACCCAGGATATAAAACAACAGGAAAGGCTTATTTTTTATGTCCTACATATCAAAGTTCAGGGAGGAAAATCCACTTTCCTCTACTTCTGAAGGGGAGTATTCAATCGGTGCGTTAAGCACTGCATATGTTAAGATGAATGTATCACCTTTCCATAGCTGGGTCTATTCTACATCATGTCTACTGTTATCAGTGTTATTCATCAACTTACCTGATTGTAAATCAGCAAGTCCTCATTATCCCCCTCTTCTTGCTTACCTACCCTTTCCGTCTGGTCACTAGGGCAATTTTTAGAAATAATCCAAATTTCTCCACTTGATGAGCAAAACTCTTCATGCTTATCTCTCTACCCACAAAAGATTCTTTGATTCTACCTCCCGTGCAAGCCTGACTACTTGAGCAGTCTTTCTCCACTAAGGGCTCAAAGCTTCCTACCCACTTACATTATTTTAACCTTAAATAGTGAATAAATAAATATAAAAAACACCTTTTCTCCTTAGGATTCATTTTCTTTTTAAGGTGCATACATATATTTGATATAGCATTTCTATAACATTGGAATTTTATACTGTTTGCTAAATTCTGAACTCTGTCAGAGTTTCAGATCTAAATTTCTTTTGATGGGCTTTTGTGTGTAATAAATTTGCTGGTGTTAAAAACATGCTTAATTAATAACAACGCTTGGTTGTAATTAATTAAAGTAGTTGGTTATAATTAAAATATGGCCATAATAATTAAAAATAAAATATTGACAGGGACAGAAGCATTCAGCAGTATGGTTTGTAACTTGGATAAAACTTTTTTCTCCTCTGAGCCAAAGGTTAATTGGGGCATTTTATTCCATATTTCCATAATTTAATAATCAAGTTTAATTTTTAAGTACATGAAAATTAACATAAATGAAAGAAGTGGCCTGGATGTAGTAACTGATGAGAATTCATTAACATTGCTGATATGAAGGTTTTATATATTGCATATTGATATCAATTGACCTTATTCTAGAAACTCTTTCTACTTTCATAGTAATATTTAAGGAATCACCTATATTGCCTTAAAAGCGCCTGTAATACTGACAACCAATTTATCAGTCACATTGATTCAGTTCCTGGATAACTAAAAATGATGTCAAACTTACCCAAGCAAAACCTTTATGTTTCCAGAGTCTTACAAATTAGACCTCCTGGGCCAAGGATATGACTCAGCCGCCCAATGCCTGTCTGGCAAGTGTGAGGTCCTGAGTTCAATTCCCAGTACAGAAATACAAAAACAAAAACAAATTAGACCTCCCAACTACTGAAGCCTAGGTAGCTAAAACCTTTGGATAATTTGTGTCATTTCTGTTTTTGTAGGTTCTGCATGGAAAATCTTTAATTTATATACTCTCAAGAAGTATCATTTGAGTCACAAAAGGTTAATGGTTATTCTAACTTCTTAATTAATGTTTCTATATAGTAATCCATTTAGCTGGTGGTAAAGTCCCTGTCATATATTCTGAGGAGTGAAGCATTATAGAGGACTATTCAAAGTTAGGAGCTTATTAGATGCACAGTTAATCATGGTTTATTTAAATATCTAGGTCAGCACAAATATTCAATATACAGAGACTTTCCATCAGCAAACATATCACAGCCAGCATATCACACTATACAAGTAAATTTATAAATATATAACTACACACAGAGCAGGTACTGATTCTAACCTTCAGAAAATATGCTTATGATTAATAATAAGAATGCTTGGGTCTGTATATTTCAAAATATTAATAGGAAGGCTGGTAAATTTTTTAAAAAATCAGAAGAATGAGTACAGGTGATTATATATCTAAAAAGTTTTCTCTCTTAGAAAAGAATCATCTAAATCAAACAATGTCTGAACACTATGGAAGAGAAGGTCTATCTGACATAATAAATGCTTAATATGCCTAATCTTATTTTATTTCAACTTTAATTGCATATATGGATACCTTAATAATTCACATATTTTAAGAAAATTGAAGCCACAAATAGGTGCAACAAAAATCATATTTCTTTTCCTTGGGGGGGCTGTCTTTTTTATTTTTTAGGTTTTAATGTAATACAAGTAGATATTAATAAATATTTGAACATATCATTCCATGTCTTATATATTTCTAACAGCTACCCATAGAATAAAACCTAAAATCCTTAAGACGGATATATGGCTTGCCAATTTGAATTAGTGTAAGGGATTTCAGGTCCTTTTTCTTATGATCCTCATGCTCCAGACACTCCTAAAGTTGCCAGAAGACACCGTACAATTACATACCTTGTAAATACAGATTCTTTGCCTGTTGGAATCACACACCCCCACCCCACACCCAAATTACAGCCCTGACCTACCCTTTATGTGGCAGATCAAGTGTTACTTCCTCTGTGAAACTGCCGCTAAGTCTTTTGAGAAGCAAGCTATGCTTTTCTTTATACACAAAACAACTTTTACACATCATTATTATGGAATTTATTACATCACATTGTAATTTTTGTTGAGATCTGTTTTCTCCTTTAGAGAATAAACCCTTTCAGCTTAGGGAACCTGTTTTATACCCTCTATATCTTCTAAGTGTATAGCTGGGCACAGGGCCTCTAGGAGCTGTTCAACAAAGACATAATTCAGCTTGGCAATATGGGAAGGGACAGGAAACTCCATATTCCTTTCTTTCCATAGATGTAGGCACTGTCAATGCTCTTTAATATTGAAGAAGAATCACTTGGAGACACAAATACCCACATTTTCCTCTCAGCTGCACACTAATGGTTGGGTTAAACCACCACTTTATACCCCATCTTATTCACATCTAATGAACAGAGTAATTGTGATGTGTCTGGTCAGCAGAATAAGATGTGATTTAACTTAACGATGTGAAAATAGTATTATTTTTCCATAAATATACCTAAGGTGTTTCCCCATTGTCCATACATTCATGGTTCAAAATAGAACCATTGAAGAAC